CCCCTCCACATCCCACCCCCACCCACTTCCTACACCTCCCCCCAAACACACGTCACCCCCGAGGCCCCCGCTGCAGGGGCTGAGCCCTGCTCCAGAGCCTGGCCTCACCCTACTACCCCCGGCAAGGCAGCTGCTGCCCAGCAGGGAGGTGGGTAGCAAGGGCAGAAATGAATTCACTGGCTTTGCAACGCCATGGCCGGAGCGAGACGGTTCCCCGTGCGGGGAGCCCGGCGTTAGAGCAAAGACCCCCCTGTTAAAGCACACGGAGCCTGCAGGCCACACCCAATTCCGAGATGCTGCCGCCTCTCATGGGCAGCGCGGCAGCCGAGTGGAACAACACGCAAGGCAGGTTAGGACAGGAGGCAAAAGAACAAAAGATTCCCTGCTGCTAATCCCTTCCATGAAAGGAAAAGCAGCCACCTCTGGGGCGGAGCACTGATTTGTGGAACAGCATGGGGAAAAGACTGTCTGAGCGCAGCTGCCGGGAAGGGAGGGTTTAGCCAGGAAAGCCGGTTAATACCCCTCCCCCAAAATTATTATTTGTCACTTAGAGGCCCCTGCCAAAACCAGGGCCCTGTTGTGCCACCGAGTGACACAAACAGCCCCGGGCAGGTCACAATTTAAGCAAACAAGGCAAGGGAGGGGAAACCGAGGCACAGAGCAGGGCCATGACTTGCCCAAGGTGACGCTGATGCATCAGGGCCAGGACAAGCCGGGCAGGCAGCACCTGGGAGCTGCATCTGGCAGAGCTGTTGTCCCCGGCAGCGTTACCGGCAGGGCCTGGCTGCCGTGGGCACAGCTGGCCCGTGGGCGCAAGGCAGAAAATTCCACGTTTCCCTCTGCAGGCGTGGGCGGTGCCAGGCGCCCAGCAGCCCAGCCGGGGGAGCCAAGGCAAACCCAAGGGGCGCAGCAGCCCAGCTGGCTCCTCGCTCGGTCGCAGACCCAGCGTCCATTCGGGGCGTCAGATGAGAGCCCTCCCCCCAGAAAAGCCAGTTCAGGGGGCCCTCCAGGCACGGAGCGAAGGGCCAGCGCCAGGCACCGACCGGGGCTGAGCCGAGGGGCCGGCAGCAGGGAAGAGGAGGGGCTGGGGTTAGGTACCAGCCCAAACCCCATTCACAGGGGGTCATTTCAGGGCAGGCCCTGGGGGGAAGGCAGGGGGCTGTGCAGCAGGTCCCGGCCCAGGCTTCCGCCAGTTCAGGGGGCCCTCCAGGCACGGAGCGAAGGGCCAGCGCCAGGCACCGACCGGGGCTGAGCCGAGGGGCCGGCAGCAGGGAAGAGGAGGGGCTGGGGTTAGGTACCAGCCCAAACCCCATTCACAGGGGGTCATTTCAGGGCAGGCCCTGGGGGGAAGGCAGGGGGCTGTGCAGCAGGTCCCGGCCCAGGCTTCCGCTGCGGAAGGCGCAGAGCTCAAATATCTTGCCGCCCAGTGTCTTGCTATAACCACTAGTCTGCACTGCCCCCCCCCCCCACACACACACAGGCCCCCGGCACCC